GACACAGCTATGTTAGCATAACATTAGCACAGTGAAGCTGGCGGATGAACGCCAACTTTTTTTCCACTCATTAAAAGTTAACGTGAGGGATTCTGGTGGTTAGGGACAAATGCAATCGTATAGCAGGATGCTATACACGGGGCAAACGTCAGTCAGGAGAACAATACAAGGTTAGTTATTAATATACTGCAACAACATGGGAATAGAACAACTGCGAGAGAATTCAACATTAATGAATCAATGTTACGGAAGTGGAGGAAGCGCAGTTTTTGGCTTTCCCCATATTTCAAAAGTGCTTCATGTCTTTGCTGTGACTGTCGCCCAGCATAATTTGCAAATGATAATGATTTTAGCCGCTGCGATGCTTTCGACCAAAACAGGCGCAGCTTGATGACATCATCAACATGCGCTATCGCGATAGAGCGGTATAGTCAAAATCTCTATCGTTGGCCAAATTTATATAGTTTCTATCATATATTGTTTATATCGCCCACCCCTACTGTCACTGAACAGACTCCTCTGGTTGTTTATGGCCATGTGCAGAGGATGCCCAGCATTGTCCATAATGTCCAGCAATTTTTTCTACACGGTATGTTAATAAAAGTGCCCATGTGAGATTTGGGACACAGCTTTGACTAAGAACTCTCTTTTTGTTCTTACTTTATGGCTACTTTAAATTTTTAAAAAAAATATCGAGATGTATATCATATATCGCCATCCAGCTAAAGAAGAGTCCATGCTAAAAAAGCTTGACGATGAAAAGCAGAGATTTTTATAGGGATTTTATCAATATCAAAATTACAGGTAAGGAAAAATTCAGTGCCACCTAAAACATGAACACAGGTATAGTATTCCAAATGGAAGTAGGATTAGAAATTAGATTCTTTAACCAATTTATTTTGAATGTGTTATTTAAAGTGTTAAAATCTAATACATTACGTCCTCCACTGACATAGGAGTTTATAAGAACTGTTTTTTTTAATGTAGTGTGTCCTACTTTTCCAGATGAAGTTGAAAAGTAACTTATCAACCTCTTTTATGAGTTTATTATCAAGGTGCAATGCCAATGCAGCGTATGTAAGACGAGAGATACCTTCTGCTTTAGTTATTAATACTCTGCCTTTTAACGACAAATCTCTTAAGAGCCACTGATTAAATCTGTGTTTGAATTTCTCTAGAATAGGATAGAAATTTTGAGTGATTCTACTTTACTATAATAACTTTTGGTTATTATGATACCTAAATAACGAACTTCTAGTTTTACTGGAATGTTACACAAAGCTGTTTTCGAACATTATTTTATCGCCATAAGTTCACATTTAGGAATATTCAAGTACAATCCAGAAGCTTTGGAAAATATGGAGATTGTTTCAATAGCAAGAGAGATTTGATATTCATCTTTTAGGAATAATGTAGTGTCATCCGCTAACTGTGTTACGAGTAAATCTTTGCCAATTAGCGATATACCTTTTACATTGCTTGATTTTATATGGTTAGACAATAGTTGGGCAATTAACAAAAACAGGTATGGAGAAATGGGACAGCCTTGTCTTATCCCTCTTTGTATGTTAAATCTGGGTGAAGTGCCGTTTGTTAATTTAATACTGCTGTTACTGTTATGGTATAATGTTTTAAGCGCTGTAGAGAAGTAAGTGCCAAAACCATACTTCTCTTGAGCTTGAAATATAAATTCATGCTCCACCGTATCAAAGGCCTTGTGGAAGTCTAAAAATAATATGAAACCATTGCAATTTATGAGGTCAGAATAATCAAGAATATCTGAAACCAATCTGATATTGTTAGTTATATGTCTTTTGGGCATAAAGCCAGATTGTGTTTCATCAATAACAGAGTCAAGAACCATCTTAAGTCTGTTAGCTACAATTAGAGTAAATACTTTATAAATCATATTTAGTAAGCTAATTGGTCTCCAAATATCAATCATTAATCGGTCCTTATTAGGCTTCGGAATCAACGTGGTGAAACCTTGATTCATCGTAGTGGGAAGTTGTTGGTTTCCTATGCTTTCTGCAAATACCTCAAGAAGAAAGGGAGACAACTCTTCAGAAAAAGTTTTATATAATTCAGCAGTAAGACCATCCGTACCTGGAGATTTATTATTTTTTAATAGTCCAATTGCATTTTTGACTTTTCTAATGAGATGGGTTGATCACATAATATAGAATCTTCTTGGCTGATAGATTTAACATTCAGCGATTCTAAGAGGTGATCTGTAGCTTCCTGAGAAAATGTAGAGCTATAAAATTCATTACAGAAATGAGTATAATGTTTAATCTGTAATCCTCTGTTATAACCCCATTTATCATTAATTTGCTAATATTATTTATGCTTGAGTTTCTTTTCTAAACTGAAGAAATAATGGGAATTACGCTCACTTTCTTCAAACCATTTAGACCTTGATCTGATAAAGGCTCCTTTTGCTTTGGCTAGTATAAACGATCTAATTTATCTTGTAATTTAGCAAGGTTCAATTTATCCTCTTCAGTTAAAGTGTCAATTTGTTTATTAGATAACTGTGTAATTTGAGAGATTATATTTTCTTCCTCTAACCTTTTGGATTTCGCATTAAGGCTGCCAACCTTCCTTAAATATTTGCCAATTTCAAATTTTAATAATTCCCAGTTATTTCCATACTTTAACTTTAAATTTTCTTGAGCTATAGACCAAAAGTTTGAGATCAGATCTTTAAGATCCTTTTTCACACCGTCTTTCTGTAATAATGAGCTGTTGAGTTTCCAATATGTAAATTTAACAACAGAAGAATTAGAAGGGAAGTTAAACAGAGGGAAGGGAATTAGGGACGTTAAATTTATTTTAATGTATATGGCTTTATGATCTGTTGCTGGAGAAGGCCATGCACCTACATCTATGCTATTGCTGTCAAAATTCTCTGAAACGAACCAAAAGTCTATCCTTGAATGTCTCGAGTTAGAATTGTTGCTCACACCGCGAATTCTCGCTAATTCTCCTTGAGATGAACTGGATGATGATCCCTCTGGGTCTCGGGTCATTTTGTTTTGGTTTTCCCACTCGAGGAGCGATGTCTAAGACCTCTGGAAGCTTTTCCTTTTCTGCTGGCAGAACCGTTTGGCGTCTCTCAATCGCTTTTGCGCGCACATCTTCTTTCTCCAACTCCAGTACCCCATACAGTCTCAGGTTCCAACAGTGGTTGTAGCGTTCAACTTCAGAGATGCGTTCGTCACATCTCTGTGTAAGCCATTCGTTTTTTCTCAACCCTATTCTCAATGACCATAATCTTATCACTTATGTCCTTTAATTCCGTACGAACTGTTCCTACCATTTCTTCAGTGGCGTCACTTCTGGTGTTGATCAGATTGATCAAAGTGTTGACTGCATCAGCTTTCAGGGAGTCGCCATCAGAGTAACTGGTAGACAATGTTGGTTTTTTAGCCACTGGAGGCTTGGAAGGCGTTACTGGTAGTGGTGGAAATTCTTCTTCAACCATCTGCTGACAATCCATATCTTTCATTAGCTATGGTCGCTAGCTAGCATGCTAGTTGCATGTGGTTTGCCCGAGTTACTCAGCCTTTTCTGAACAGATTTCGACATGTTGTTGTTATTAAATTTGGATTCAGATTCAGCAGGTTTTATTGCGCTGATCTTCAAAATAGTCTTGGAAGCTAGAAAGACGTCAAATAGGTGCTATAAAACTGCTTTATAACATTCTAGTGCTGAGAGCTCGAAAAAATACTCTTCACGCCGCCATATTGCTTGGCCCCCCAGTTAATGTATTTGAGTGACACGGTTAGCGCCCAGTTAGCTCCTAGCATTTCTCAACAGCTCTGCCTCCTTTTCAACTGCCCAGGACATTTAAACAATGGATAATCCGTTTACAAACAAATTCATGCTTTTCTCCTCAACAGAGAGCGTCCCCCAATTGAACAACAGCGCCGTAAAATAAGAAGAATGGCGCAGAATTACAGACTTAATAATACTGACTTAGTAATGTGTCACGTGAAGATTCATCAGCCAGATTAAGTGTTTATTGACAATTGACAGCGATAGCGGACATCACCATCACTATTCCAACAATCCTCTCCGCACAGACAAGCATAAACACACTTGACTATCACTAAATCAAATTAAACATGCATTTGTAATGGCGCTACTTTAGTTTACAATACGGTTCATTCGCTTGGTCAGCAGGTATCCTCGTACACTGGGGAGTAAACTCCCATTAAATGAAACAGAAGAAGAAGAAGAAAAAAATCTGCACATGCACAGTACGGATCGTGTAGACCCGATTTGTACGGTCCGACTTTGCACATGCGCAGTAAGGATCGGGGAGTACTGATCCGTAACTATCTTTTTATTTTTCATTTTTGTCTACATTATATTGAAATGTTTCATTATTGCAACCATTTTAAGAGATAATTATTATTGTTAACATCTTAACAGATACTCTGACCCGTAACGGCCGGAAGTAGACACCTTTCGCACATGCGTGGTACCGATTGGGTTTCCGGTATGGATTGGGTAGTGACATGGGGAAAGCCAAAAACTGCGCTACCTCCACTTCTGTACCATTGATTCATTAATGCTGAATTTTCTCGCAGCTGCTCTATTCCCATGTTGTTGCAGTATATTAATGACTAACCTCATATTATGGATGGATTATCTCAGTTGTTCTCCTGACTGAAGTTTGGTCCATTTACAGCATCCTGCCATGCAATTGCATTTGTCTCTAACCACCAAAATCCCTCACGTTAACTTTTATCGAGTGGAAAAAAGTTGGCGTTCGTCCTTCAGCTTCACTGTGCTAATGTTATGCTAACGTAGCTGTTTTGCTAGCAATCACGTAGCACATCATTATATACCAGCTAGTCCGACTTCAGTAACCCTACAAAACGTCGCTGCTGTTTAGTTTTCTGTCTTCATTTATGTTGGAAGTGATAGCAGAGCTGTACGAGAAGTCTCTCAGTCAGAACATGCTATATCATGTATAGGTGGAAACTAGCAAGCTAACTTCCTGCCAACTTCTAACTCCGCGGAATTTAATCAATTCTGTTTTCATGGATGCCTGGATGTTAAACTATATTGTTAAACCTGGTAAAGCAGCAACGCTGATCATTTTATTAAAGATCAAAGAATTTAGACAGTTTTTAACTCTCAGTGATGCCGCAGTGTTTGTTTGACTTTGGGACCTGAAGCAGAGGGAGTTTTGGACCCAGATTACTCCGCAAGGCTCCTGACTACGGCAGCCGTAATGCTCCGACAATCCATCATGCAGTGCACCTTCATAGTTTACCAAAGTCGTACTAAAACATTTTTGGACAGATTTCTGCGCGCCGTGTACCACATACAATTGATTCGAGGTGAGTAAGCACAACCAGAATTCACACATAAGGCACACTCTCGATTTTTGAGAAAATTAAAGGATTTTAAGCGTGCCTTATAGTGTGTAAAATACGTGATACAGAAGAAAAGAATATATCGCGATATATATCGTTACCGCATATGCTTCAAATTATACCGTGATATGGATTTTAGGCCATATCGCCCAGCCCTACTATTGTGACCCCATTTGACAGCAGTCTGCAGTAAAGACTCTCACAATTACCTAAAATGAGACTTGTAAAAACAAATAAAGTGAATAACATAAATACAAGCTTGACACAGTGCAGTGGTTATGACCTTCACATTACAGCAAGAGGGCCTGAATCTGCCGGCCCGATGAGGCCTTTCTGGGTGAAGTTTGCATATTCGGGTACAGGACAGTGGTGATTAATGTGATGTGAATGATTATCAGTCTCCCTGTGATGGACTGGCCAAGCTGTACCCTATCCTTTGCTCTCTCACAAATGGGATAACCCACATCCACTCCACAACAATGAATTGGAAAAGTAGTTAAGAAAATAGACAGATGGAATATAAATACATGTTTTCCATGTCATTTAAATTGATCCTGTTGTTTCTTGTTCATTTACTACCGTCTCCTTACGCATAAAAAAAGGACTCCTAGTCTACTCTTTGCAGTGTGGAATACAGCTTATTAATTTAACACTGGTATCAGTACAAATCCTCTTTTCCAATGTATGGGAATAGTATTGGAACTAGAAAAACCTGAATCGGTATGTACCTAATTAACGATAAACATCTTGATATTGGATTCAAGGAGAAATTTAAATTCAAACATCATACAAGTAAGTTTGTAGATAAACTGCAACAAAGGGTTGGTTTAAAACAAACAAACAACAGTGGCATCAGCACCTCCTACAACATAAAAATAAATAATCACCGTTTTAATATTAACAAAACCCAAAACTGTAGGTATGTTATGTTATACTGAACTGTATTAGATGGCACAGTGGTAATTAACAGAAATGCACTTGATGCAATTTTCTTGGCCAATATCAATTTTATTCTAAGCGTGGTCTGCCGAAAACGATTGTTGCTGATTTAGATTTTCTTTCTAAGAACTAAAAGTGGCAGCATATACGAGCAAAAATCAATTATTCTTCAGAAAAATGTTATTATCATAAAAGACATGATTAAACTTTACAATTTCCCCCAGACCAAGTTACAGGATCTTCTCTCAATGACACGAATGAAAGTTGCTCAGTTATTGTAAAGAGGCATAAATGATTAACTTAAATGAGCTGCTATACATCCACTTATACCTGGCATGCTTGACCTACCCAAACAAAAGCAGCTGCAATAAATATATATAACAAATCTAATGCCATTTACTTCCATTGTTTTCTACTGTGCTTAGAAAATCACCAGGACCTTGAACCTTTTTACTCATCAGCATAGTTTCCCTCATAGCTCCTATGATCTTTTGCTCATACTGAGGCTGCTGCCTTGTGGCTGGCTGGCTGGCTCTGAGCTCTCGATGGCTTTAACTTTAGCCTCTTTGCCTTTGTTAGCTTCTTTAAAATGTTTAAGTACAGCTGGGCGAGGGTGCTTTAAGTGTCTAATAAGGTCTGTTGTTTATTTTAGCAAACTGCGTCTTCACTCACAGTAAATAAATTCTAGTTAAAGACATGTTAGCACAAGGCTGCAAGTGTGGGCATGACTACTTGCTCACGTTACCCATCTGTGTAACAGACCAGCTCATAATCAGACCCACATGAGACAGACTGGCTGATCTGGGATGAGCATGTCGGAAAACAGCAGATTCCAGTCCCTGGCTGGTCAGTTGGTCCATTTCTAGTAATTAAGTGTAAAATAGGCTTAAAGCCTAATTAAACAAGAACTGCCATGTAATTCCATGCAACTCTGCAATTCAGTTCCAGAGGTTAGGTTCAGGATAACATTTCAAAATATTTTTTTGGGAAATAAAAAAGCCATGCAGATAATACTTGTCATCAAGCGGCCCTATATCTTCACAACAGATGATGAGCTTGGTGTCTACTCACCCTGAGGTGCTGGAAAGCATGGATACTATAAGGTAGTTCAAACACTTTCCCACAGTCTGGCTTCTCTAGATCTGGGGGTAGAGCAGACCTGGAATCAATGTAGTCTTCAGGTCTAGAAAGAAAAGAGGAGAAGAAAAGATGACAATTTCATCATAATCACACAGAGGCCGTGAGGTTATTTAGGAGCAGAAACCATAAATGCATATTTAAAAGCAAAATAATGGCACAGACCTGATGTCTTTGCTTTCCAATGAGACATAAGTGCCATCATACAGATCCAGGTCTCCCAGGGGTACCTTAGCCATTACACAGTCTGCATCCTCCTTGTAATGCCTCTGCTCCAAACCCGTATCTCGGTCCTCATTCTCCTCAATATGAATCTTCTGTGCCACTAGCTGCTTCTGCTCAACAATTAGAAAAGAAGGCAGCAGTGAGGCATGAGAAACTGGAATTGGATCTTAAATTAAAGGACTGAATTTAATTTAATAATGTAATGACACAAACTACGGTCTGTTTTAACAAAGTGTTTGTCAAAACAGGACATTCAAAAAATGTAAAGACAGCGAATGACCAGCATGAATGAAAGAATAAATGGGTAAACCCACCTCCAGCTTCTTGAGGTAGTTAACGCGAGTTTCTTGCCTCATGAAGATTACAACATCGTGCGGGTGTTTCAGATTTAAAGGGGAGTCCACCTGAAAAGCAAACAGCGCGATCGTGACCGACGTGCTTAGCTTCGCTCACTTAGGCCGAAAAAGACTTGGGCAGTCGATTAATCTCTGATATGACAACATTCAGATAATGTGGAGTCATTGATTTAACTAGTGCGCCCGATTGTTAATGTCACACACGCACACTCGTCTTGTCAGACGCTCCTAATACACATAAACACGTAATGTCCCTGTCTATAGTCGGCACCAAACACCACTGACGTTCTGGCATATCTGCAAGCGCCTTCCAAGGGAGGCATACACACTGTCATAAAAATATAAGTGTTTATCTTGACCCGGTTAACCAAAAGATAATGGAACTAGTCTGATAAAGCTAAACCACTTGGTCAAACAATCGGGATTTTAATATCCACGGAACTTTCTCTCTAAATCCACAGTTGCTCAAGCTGACAAATGAGTCGCACCGAGTTAAATTATTATAAGCACTACAGTTACGTTACAGTCGGTGCTATGAAAAATAGTTAGCTTCATAAGCTAGCCGCCAAACGTAAGCGTTAGCAGGTCAATGAGCTGTCATACTTGCTGCTGAATTTTTCCGTCCTCTGTGACAACCCAGTGGGTCGTAGCCCCTCCGGAGTCCACTGCAAGTATACACAGGAGGATGAAAAGCTTTCCATGTAGCGACGTTTTCCGCGAATAGTTGACACGGCAGGGCAAAGACTCCGGGCAGATTTTCCTGAGGTCCGCCATTTTTCTGTCTCCCTTTTTCTTTTTCTATTTTTTTCCTGCGACAACAATAGACTCCCACCAGGGGATGGCGCTCGCGTCTGCAAAGCGCGAAAAAATGTAATCGTTGATGACGTTTGGAAAAAGAAAAAAACAGGAAATTCTGTAGATACCAAAAGTTCGAGACGTTTTCAAGGCAAAGGTGGGTGTGCTACGAGAATAAAAACCTGCGTTCACGGACACATTCGGAGCTTATAACGATTTTCTCGCCGATGTGGGGGACGTGATTTCGCTTCCCGCTGTTTTGGTCAGTGGTTTTCTTTTAATACTTTACTTTTGACTGCAACCAGATTCGCATTTGTAGTTCCGTATCCAGGGGCATGGCTGGTTCGTCAAGTGCCAACACTTCCAGTCGTTGTATGCAGACTGTTAGCTAGCTGTAACGTGTTTTAAATAAAAAAAAGTTGATACCGAATGTTGGAGTTTAGGCAGAACCTTATCGACTGACTGATGCTGACTAATGAAAAGTAAAAGTTACGCCCCATGTAGGGCAATGGTAGCTTCAAGGAGGAGGTTACGACGCCCATAGCTTGTACATGACTCACTGTACAGGTTGACAGTCTGGTTGGCATGTTTTTATCTACAAAGCTGCATATAGTCAAGGATGATTAGCTTATTTGGTTTGTTAAGCTAGGTGGGATATAAGGAGTAACGATAAATGGTACTAATCTTACAATCTAAGTTCAAGACTGAGTCTTTAAGATTAATTCCAGTTGTTACAAAATGTGTTGTTCAGTATTAATAACCAACCAAAGACTACACTGCATATTTCATTAGTTCATACTCGGGTTTGTGAAGATTTCTCTATTTATTTTGGTTTGTTGCAAGAATCCAAGAATCTTCTCTGAAGTGAATTCCCACGTGTGTGTGTGTGTGTGTCTCTTTGGAGCAGTGTGTTAACTCTTCTGTTATATGATTTGCTTACAAACCCACAGATTAGGTGTGGACGAGTAAGGAAAGGCCAAATAATGAATTGGTAATGTGGTTATGTGAAAAATAAATTGTCTGATTGCTCATTAAGGAAAAAGATCATTAGAAATAACCCTAAAACCTTCCCATAGGGATCCTGTTTTCATGATAAATGAGTTGATTTGCTTTAGGTTTTTTCTAAAAGAAGGGAGGAAGTTGATTGGAGGAAATTATAAAGATGGTTGTAGGAGGATATTTCTTGAACATCATATCATTGTGTAACTTTACAAAACCTTTTTAGCAGTTTCATACAAAAAGAAAATCTCTTTTGTGCGGCTGAAGTAAACATATCCCCATTTTAAAAGCAGAAAAATGCATAATGTCTATTTCAGAATCAGAATCAGAATACTTTATTGATCCCTGGGGGAAATTATTTTTTTGTTACAGTGCTCCATTATAAACCAACATTAACAAGACAGACAATACGCTAACTAAGAATAGTACAATAGTACAATATATATATATACACATAAGTCACTCATTAATAAATAGCTGGAAAAGAAACATGTGTAGTTGTAGCAGTAACCAGTGTGTTAAGTTAATACAGAACTAACAGGGAAATATACTATTTTAATATACTATTTATATATACTTATTATACTATTTTAAAGTTAATACAGTTAGAATTTATTTCACACTTCCTTACCTCTTTCAGACTTTGCCACCTGCTACAAATGGCCTGCTGTGAAAGCAATAAGGGGAGTTTGGAGGAAGACAGCTATGATGGAGCTGTTGGTGGAGCGCTGTCTGGCTGTGCTCTGGCAATGCTGGAAAAAGAACAGGAGTCCATTCTTAGCCCTTCAGAGAACCCTAGTGCCTTCATGAGCAGCAGCAGCTTTCAGGCTGCCCCCCCGCAGGGCTACGATGTGGAGTTTGATCCACCGCTGGAGAGTAAATACGAGTGCCCCATTTGTCTCATGGCTTTGAGGAACGCCATTCAAACACGCTGTGGTCACCGCTTCTGCAAGAGCTGCATTGAGAAATCCATCCGGTATGCTATTGTACATTTTTTTAATCAACAATGAACACTTAGGTTTCTATTTCATTTATCATCACAAGTTTCACAGGCCAGTTTCGAATCCCTGTTAGTTCTTTATTAGCATCAGAGCAATATGGCAAATTACTAAGTAATGATTTAGAAAGGAAAGGCTTCTGAATGATCCAAAAATTCACTGGTACTTGTTTTAATAGTGAAGTAGACAAAAGGGACCAACGATTTCTGTTCTTCTTGCAAATCAGTGATACGGGACAGAGGTGCCCAGTGGACAACGAAATGTTGTCAGAAGACCAACTGTTCCCTGATAACTTTGCCAAAAGGGAAATTCTGTCGCTAACTGTTCGCTGTCCAAACTTGGGCTGTGCCGACAAGATGGAGCTCCGGCATTTGGAGGTAAAAAAACCGTGACAGACATGTTTGATCCAAACACAGCTCAACACAGAACACAAAGTCAGAGATGTTAACAGGCTGGTGTTTGAAGATGCAGTTGGATTGCACGTGAACATTTCAAAGACATATTTATGATTGTGATCACTTTGTTTTTGTTTTTAAAAGCTTTTTGCTTTTAAAAACTGTTTGTCAGTGTGATTATAAACCTCTCACTACTGCTGACTGCCAACTTCATAAAATGGACAGGTGTCAGCGGCTTGTAGACATTTTTGAGATTGCTGTAGAACAAGTTTGTCAACACAATAAAATGACTTCAGAGAACACCACCACAACTACACTTTTTTTTCTTGGCACATAAATAACAGTTCATCCCCCAGTTTGTGTCTTTCTCTGGTGTGGACAGAGGAATTGTTACAGCTTTCCTGACACCACTTTTATTCTGTTTTAGCTATTCTGGTCTTTTATCTCATTGAATGATGTTTGCATGTGTATACGTATACATGTATTTTATGTTTATGTATGTGTGCTGAATGTACATTTTTGTATATGTATGTGCATATTTGCATGTACACATATTTTTACAAACATATATGGATGTCTCACAATGTTTTCTGTTTTCATCTTATCTATTTTAATTGTTTGTATTTGATTATATTATCCCTTTGTTCAGCACTTTGGCTGACACTTGATGTCTTTTAAATGTGCTATATGATTAAAGATGAAGACTTTCCTGCTACAGAAGCAAATGAAATGTTTTTTGTATTTATTTATTTTTTGTTTTATTGTTTTAACTTCCAGGATCATTTGGTGCATTGTGAGTTTGCCACTGTGCCTTGTCCACAGTGCCAGCAGTCTGTGAAAAAGAGCCAACTAGAAGAGCACATAACTGTTCAGTGCCAAAAAAGACCCATGTCATGTCCAGACTGTGTGGCATGCTTTCTTTATGAGGAGAGAGAGGTACCATTGAATCACTTTTCAAGAACAGATCTCATGGCAGAGTTACAGTGATGTTTTGTGTGTCTGTGAGGAAATTTTCCTAATAGTCTCCTTTCATTTGCTCCTTCAGCTTCATCAGCAACAGTGTCCCTTTGCCAGTGTGAAGTGTCAGTACTGTGAGCTGGAGCTCGTCAGAGACCAGGTGAGTCTTTTAAGAGTCTGCCATGAAGAAGAGGCCTCAGGTGAATGAACGGTTAGGAAGTGGTGATCAAAACAGGAACTACTCTCTTGTTTAAGCAATGGGGAACCATTCCAAACTCAGTCACATCACATGTTACAGTGCAGAAGGGCTGTCACCATTTCAGCAGTAGAAAGTGGAACCACTTCTGTTTTAATTGTTGTCTGTTATTCCTGTTCCCTTGTTCCCTTTGTCTGTCATTTTCAGCAATAAGCAATCTCTTTGAAATGCTTAAAAAAAAAACCATTCTGAATATGACTAAAGCTAATTTACTAATAACTTTTTTTTCCCCCCCAGATGGAGTCTCACTGTGACACAGATTGCCCAAAAGCACCTATTGCCTGTAACTTTAGCATCTTTGGATGTAAAGAAAGGGTAGGTGATCAATTTCTAGATTTCCATTCTTTCAGCTCTCATACAGCATATTCTTAATAGGTTAATACAGTGGTTCCCAAACTTTTTTTGCTGGGCCCCCCTTTGTTTTACAAGAAAAATGTTCGCCCCCCGCGCACGCACGCACGCAAGCACGCAAGCACAAACACAAACACATCCTCCAACCACACACACCCATATTTTGCTCCATTATGGTTTATTTCACACCTCAAACATTTAGTAAACAATTAAGCAAATACAAGTAATCTGCAATAAATTACAGGTAGTAATAAAATAAACTACTAACTCTTTTACGCTGCGTCCGCACCTACACGGGTAATTTTGAAAACGCAGCTGTTTCGTCCACACGTAAACAGCGTTTCGAATCACCGAAAACTGAGATTTTTTTAAAACTCCTTTTTTGTGTTTACGTGTGGACGAGGAATACAGAGTTCGTCACGCAACGTCAAAGGTGTGTGCCTTTTTTCACGTCACGCTGTGCGCCACGTTATTGTTTACATGAGATGAATTGCAGAATGGCAGATAGAGACAAAATACTGTTAATCTGACTATCGTCAGGTTTTATAGCTTACATATACACGCAGTTACTGTCTTTCTATTTAGAAAGGCAGAGGCGTCACAGTGTAATTATTACATGTAGTTGTTTTTTCCTGTTTAATAATATTCAACATTGCTATCAATACATTTTTCAAAAAATGTCTCTCTGTGCAAAATGGGTTTAAAAACATAAACAGCTGTGGGATACTGTTAGTCTGTGATTTGAACCGGGGGAACAAATCGTGGCAGGATCAGCCTGATATTATTTGTATCCCACTGTAACTTTACTGTATAAAGAGCTAACATCTCCAAAATGTCAGGAGTAGTTAGTTATTACAAGAAGTGTTTGTGAACTAAAAATCAAGAATGTGGGATACTGTTTGTCTGTGATTTAAACAGCCCAGCGCTGCTCCCGACGAAGGGAAAACCAATTCTGCAGGGGAGACCTACCTTAGCACTTGTGCAGGTGAAGCCAAAGGGAAGATATGCTTCACAATATTTTCTAGTCTTTGGCTTAGAATGAAGTTGGTTTGGAAACATATTCAGCGATGCTTCATCTCCTGCTTTGCATTTGTGTGGGAGCCCTGTGCTAGCAGTGTCCAAGCGTTTTGTTTTTTTCCCCGTTTTCATACTGCGCCCCCCCTGCAATGGCTCTGCGCCCCACACTTTGGGAAGGTCTGGGTTAATAGGTTTTGTAGTTTGCGACACAAGTTTTAAAGCTGGTTTGACTCTGCAGATGCAGCGCCACAACCTGGCTCAGCACATGCAGGAGTTCACACAGATGCATATGCGCTACATGGCTGAATTTCTGCGTGGCCTTAGCCTCAATGGTACTACACCCAAACCCCTGAGGACTTTAGGACCTTCACTTTCCTCTGAGGATCAAGGAGCTGCAGCATCAGTACTGGCCTGTAGTGGGCCCAGAGGGGCTGCAGCTCTGAGCTGCAGTAGCAGTTGTGCTCCAGGTCCGTCTAGTGAAGAGATGCAGCAGAGGCTCCGTGAGATGGATGGACGATTGGTGAAGCAGGATCACCAGCTGCGTGAACTCATCATCTTAAAAGACACCCAAGTAAGTGATATCCAAGTGTATTTTGACCTTTTGGGGTTTTGGTTTGTTTTTGTTCTTTTAGATTAGTCTCAAAGCCTCTTTTCTTTCTTTTTCTCTCAAATATTTTCCCATTTCATTTTCACAGGCAGGCCAGCTAGCAGAACTCAGGCGTAGAGTGTCCATGCTGGAGGATACAGTAAAAGAGCTGGAGGCCCAGCATTGCAATGGTATCTTCATCTGGCGCCTCAAAGGTTTTTCAGTCCACCTGCGGAACCAAGAAGCGGGCCAGCCAGTGGTTGAGCACAGCCCCGGCTTTTACACAGGCCGCCCGGGCTACAAGCTGTGCCTGCGCTTACACCTGCAGACCCCCAATGCCCCTCGCTGCTCCAACTACATCTCCCTATTTGTGCACACCATGCAAGGAGCTTTTGATGGGCAGCTTACCTGGCCATTTCAAGGAACCATCCGGCTCGCCATCCTAGACCAGGGCCCTGAGGGTCAGCATCACATGGAGGCAATGGAGACTAAACCAGATCTACAGGCCTTCCAGAAGCCGACAATTCAGCGCAATCCCAAAGGATTTGGCTATGTCACCTTCATGCACCTGTCTCAGCTGAGTCAGAGAGCTTATGTTAAAGACGACACTCTGCTCATCCGCTGCGAGGTGACGCCACGTTTTGACAATATCCTTCACCGTGAGGGACCAGCTGTACAGCCAAGAGGACCTGAGGCATTTGCTTCAAGAGACTAAAGTCGCACTCCTTTGTGTGGGATCTTCCACAAGCTGACATTTATGGTACCTCTACCAGTGTTTTAGTAATTCAGTAAAGTTCATTTTTAATTGATGGTGATCAAGTGGAAGAAAAATTGACATTAACAACCTTTTAAAATAGTTAGTATTTATTTTTTTTCAAGATCTCAATGTTTGTTGTAATAGATGTACAGCAGAATTCATTTAGATCATTATGAGAGATATTTACTTTAAAACTACGCTGTTAAGACCATGTGAACTGTATCTAATCAGCTCAGCACCACAGGCTCTCTTGCTATTGATGTAGAACACAGCATGAGGACTTTTAGGTTTTGGGGGTTTTGTTTTGGTTTTGGTTTTGGTTTGGTTTTTTACCTCTAGTGTCATTTTTCAATCATTGTTTAAAGAGCAGATGACTTTTTGGGTTTTTTTTTTTCCCTTGTCATCTGCAAGTGTGTGCAGGGTATGTGGATAATGTATTGCATATTCTTAACAGCAGAGGATGAAAATGACAATTGAGCATTTTATAAAAACCTAAGTGAACAGGCTTAAATCCCTAGAATCAGTTGTGGGAATTTGTTGTAACCACAGTTGATCATATGTTATCTAATATTGAATCATGAACCAAAAAAAAGGGTCACTAGGTAACAATGGAAAGTTAAACGCTTATAATAATTAGCATAGACACAATCTTATTTTCATTCCCCTTATGTGTGCTTAGTCTACTGACTCACCTTGGCAAGCCAAACCAATGGAAGCCTAGAGCCCCCCCCCTCCCTCTCCATCCTTGTATATTCTGGGTAAACAGCATATATTGGAAACACTGGAGGTGCTATTTATCTTAGAATAGATGCAAATGAACAAGTAAACCTGAAAAGGCGAAACAGAATTCCAAGCAGTGAACTAACGCTGGCCATTTTTCCTTTTAATCAGGAACAATCTCTCTGTTCCACTGTAGGACAAAGGGCATTTGGGGGTGGTAACGTTCAAAATTCCCTTTCAGATGTTTTACGAAGAAAGTGATGCATTTGCCACATTTGTGGCACGCCAGGATCTCACACAGAGAATTTTGATGAGAAACACAGCAGTAACACAAAAGCTCCACAGGGGTATCTTGTGAGAAAGGTCATTGTGTGGAACAGAATCAGCAAAAACTTATTGTCCATTCCAAATGCCGCATTTCAAGCGTCACTGCTTCTGCCCATCCTGATTTTTGAGGCATCACTGTGGCACAAACAGCAAAAATGATGGACGGATTACTCAAAGTGCCTTTTACTCAAGCTCCTAACTAATGTAACCTTAAATAATTGAAGTGTAAATGTGAATGCAACATTGTCACGCTCCATGAAATGCTAATAATTGATTGGATGAATGAAAGCTGTCCTCCTAAACACAGTTACCACAGTGGAACATTTAATGTTTTCCTCTAAAGGACCCAATATTTTTATAAATAAAACACCATTTCACTCATTTAAGGTCCATTTTCCCCTTATTGGATTAAAAAATATTTTTCATCTCTCTCAGTATTCTTCAGCTGTCTGTATGCAGCCATTATCACTTTTATTCATCAATGTAAGGAAATTTTTTGTTGGCCCCATATCCTGGATGTCCCGGTTTTGTTTTCTCTTCTTGCTTCGCTTCATTCGCTGTTTGACTTTGAGATGCATCTGCAGCAGCGCCATCTGTCTTGTCGCCTGCAAGAGACGCTAGAGAATGACATATTATTGCTTGGACTACATCGAAAAGGCACAAAGCACTGTGTTTGAATCTTTTTGCATAATTACTGTCATTCTTCTCGCTGATTTTTGACTCACTCGGAACTCTCGGCGCATCCTTCCCACATTTGAGTGTGCTCTGAGCAAAGCACTCAGCCATCCAGGACAGCACCTCTCCGCAATATCTGACCTGGAGGAAAAAAAAGTCAGAGGTCACTGTTTTTAACTTATAAACTACTTCTGCACTAGACTTTAAACTTGAAATAGATTTGGGAAAATGCATCCCTGGATGGTGCTATTGAGCTCAGTATACCGTTTACCTGACTTTCCATGGATGCCAGTCGTCTCTCTTGGTCCTTAAATCCACTGACAGTCTTCAGCAAGCTTTGAACCCTTGATCCCAAACAAAGTCATTTAGAACATTTTAACCTTAAGAGACGCAGGTTGGTGCTGTGCAGGTACTACAAGAGTTTCTAACTTAATTGCTTTGAGAATAGCATGCAAACTTTTGAGAAGAATTATAAAGTGACCGTTACTTTGAGGAGGTGCTCTTGAGTCTCTCCTCGCTGCTTTCCCAGTGCTGACGCTCTACTTTGGCCAGGTAATTCTCTTTCTGCACCGTCTCCCATGTTATCAGCCTCTGGTCCAGCCCCGCCGGCAACTCCCTCTCTGGCAACACACAAAAGCAAGGAAGTGAGTAACCAATTAACCTAAAAAAGTTCCACGTGGTGGGTGAAAGACAAAGATAAGCCCGCCGTGTGTTTGCCTGTGTTTGATTTGGTTTTTGTTTAGCCACCTAAGCCGCAGAGGACTCTTTCAATGTCTGTTTCAAATAACGGCTTAATAGCCCCTAATGAAAAAGTGTATATAGAGCCTTCATACCAAGACGTTCCTGCTTGGACTCCGGCTGCTTAATCAGGCTGAGGAAGAGCTGAGAGAGGTGGCTGATGATGATGAAGGGTGGGGCCAGTGCTGGACGGCTGTGGTATTCCACGATCAGGTTATATCTTTGGAACTTCCATAAGATGTCTGTGTTGCCTTGCACTTCCTGGAATGTGTAGCTGCAAATAGGGGAAGAAGCAAGTAAACCAGTTTGTGTGTGTGTATGTGTGTTTTTCTTTTTAATTTTATAATTTCAATAAGCCACTGGCTCATCTCATGTGATCAGACGGGCAAATGTATGCACGTTTTCCTGGATTCTCATCCCCTGACCTGAACATGGCAATGAGGAGGTTCATTAGCAGGACATTGGTGACGAGGAGGTAGATAACCAGCAACAGGATGACCAGCCAGTTGGCATAGATGTTGGGACATGGTGGCCGCAGGCCCTCGATAATCTCGTCTGAGTCATCGGTGCAGTTCATTTCAGGCATGCGAGCAGCTGCGCTCCATTAAATGTAAGAACAAGATGCGATAAGATTAGAAGGGGGGGGGGAACAAAAGAATCTAGGGCAAACAGATTACAACCCCAATGGCAAGCATAAACAAAACATTAATTACACGTCTTGGCAAAGTATTGTGCATTTTTCACAAACAGATAAACAGTTAAAGGATGTATCGTACTGTCTATCTCCTCCAAAGGGATCTGGCCAAAAATGTGCAGGTAGGGACGGTACAGCGCTCTGCGAAACACCCAGTCAATCCTTTGGTCGTTGGGGTGGAGGAGAGCCTGGGTGGCAACTCCGTATGCAATGAGCCAGACACACAAGAAAAACAGGAAGAAGAAGACATCCTTCATCTGTTTAAAAAACAGAAGAGAGAGAGCAAAAGATCTCCGTCTTAATCTTCTTTTTAGGCGTCTTGGTCTATTAGCAAAAGCACAATTTAAATTTATACGTAAGCCATGATTTTGTTTTGGTCACCATTCTTTCCACAATGATGATCTTGGGTCCCAGCTGCTTATGAATGGCAAAGATATGGATGAGACGCAGAGTAAACACCATGAAATCAATGGCCAGAACTGTCCTTCCCGCCTCGTAGGTGTCATTCACCATCCTGAGAGAAAAATAATAAATAAATCACACCCTGTAGCAACACTTTTTTTTTGCATTCAGCCATTCATTCATTTAACCACTTGCTTACTTATTTTGATGCTTTAGCCACAATCATCACCACGACACATACTAAAGCCTAAGTGCTCACATTAGATTTAGATTTACCTGCAGGAGACCCCAACAACAAAGAGTGAGATGGCAACCATGTCACACTTGTTCCAGTTGTCCTCCACGTAGAGTTTAAACTTCTTTAAGATGCTCATCTCTTCATCAGTGAAGAAGCTCTGTTGTCATAAAGATTAATAAAGAGATATATCTTTTTTGAATATTTTTGTAAAACTGTTCATCAGAAAATCTGAGCCTGTCTTGACTTCTTTCAGATCAAATACTAGAACGACATTCGAACAGACCTCCAGGGACCACAGCTAGAGGTCGATCCCAAAGTCAATAGTACTGATACCAAGGCTGGTATTGGTATCAGATCGATACTAGCACGATACGATCGATACTTCACTCTGAAAAGCTGAAAGGTGTGTTTTGTTGTGTTAGCTAATTTTTGTGGAAAATACTAATCACAGTGATTTAGTGCTCATTAAAATGTGTTCAGAATGTTCAAATTGATGATGATTCATGTCATAAATCATGATACACTGCTCTCCCCTGCACAGGCTGCCTTTGTAGTTTAAAAGCATTGGTATTTGGTATCATTAATAGTGGTCTTTTACCTGGCATCAGCTTGATGCCTAAATGTGTGGTATTGCACAGCAGTCCCCACAGCCCTGCTGCTTTAGAGGGGACCTTCAGTGCAAGCAAATGGTGAGTCCTGTCAAATGTCTTTTATACTTAGAGTGTGAGGTTGACTTTTCTCCTGTGACTTTAACAGGTTACCTGAACGTGCCTTAAGAACCACTGCTTGGTCCCTTGATGGCGCAGTTGGTTTGTCAATAAGCTGAGGGCAGCGGGTGTGCTTTCACAAAGTCACAGTCTGCTGTGCGAAAGCTTTGAGTGCCATTCGACAGATGTCTACATGACATCCAAATACTTTCAACTATCCCCAGGTACAAGCTGTAGATTTAAACACTTAAGGTAAACCTAGCTTACACTCAGCAATTAATCATTTTAATAAATCTGCAGTAAAAGATGGTAAAATGAGCAAAATGCACTACTGTTATAACTCTATGAGAGGGAGCAGACTGGGACTACTCGTTTATTAAAAAGCTGGTAGAACTAGGCTGTTGAAGTTTTTTTTTTGTAAAAAAGTATGATAACAAGGCCCCTGTGGCATTATCTTCATTTAGGAAAAGGCATGCACCTCAGAGCCATCCTTTTGAATGCACAGGGGCCCTGCTGGGCATGGTAACATGCCAGAGTTGCCTGCAGCAGTGTGGTTCTTATTTTGGAAATCTCTACCATAATTCTGTCAGCTCTGGCACTGTCTGAAATACACATTGAAAAATAGAGTGTTGAAGGACTTTGTCATCTGGGCCTTTTTGTGCCCAAGGGAAGAGAGCTCAGTGGGATCGGTGCAATAAGGGATCATGCTTGTCTGACCTGGCTCACTAGGAGGGAGTCAAAAAAGAGGCGAAAGGCTTAAAACCCCTGAGACAATGAGCTCACTGTAGCGATTCACATCACCTCCTACTCAGATGTGTCAGAGCCGAACACGTCTAATAGAAATGCCACTGCTTCGAAAAAGGTGTCACGCTGCCTAGAGAGAAAGATGCTGATTCTTGGCATCATATAGGTGCCAGCATGATTAGATGATCACCTGTCGAAGTTCCTCCAGCACCATTGTGAAGACCCAGAAGTAGAGCATTATCTCTTGTGCTCCAGGGCCAAGAGGCGGCGGCGGGCGGAAGTCTAGAAGGAGCACGTAAGTGAAGAGGCAGAGGAAAGCAAAATACATGATGACATTGCCGAGGAACACCGTTACAGGAGCGCTCCAAAAGCGACGCCAGCGACGCAATAAGAAACGCCACCAAACAGAGGCGCAGCTCTGATCTGCTTGACCTCCAGGTGAAGAGTCCCTGGAAAAAAAAAAGACACCACATTAATATGTAAAGACAAATCTATATCTAACTATAGATATAATCATGTAAATGGAGATTAACAGCCAGGATTCTAAAATTCAAACATGTTTACTGATGTTATAAGTCTGAGATGGTGTGACGGACATCAGGAAGTGTTTTATTCGCATTATTATTCACACAGCAGCTCATTTGTGTTTATAGGGTTTTAGCACCAAGGTTATTATAGATTACTAAAACTAAACTAAAAACTAAACCACAATTAGATGTGAAAAAACAAACAAATATTGTGAAGCATTGATGGATCTGTGTATCGACACTCTGGATGTCTACAAGTCTGTAAGTCAACAGCATTCAAATAGTTAAGTGCTTTTAATGCAATACCTGTACTGACTTTCCTTAAATTACCCTTCATATAGTAAAAATTAAAAAGTGTAGACCTAACGCTTGAAGTAATAAAGACTTTTAAAACAGTAAAAACCAACTGAAACAAGAAAATCCACTCTGGAAACTAACTCAAAGTAAATCGAATTAAAAGCAAATAACCAAAAATGGAAAAAAAACATTAAGTAGCTAATTTGTTGTCACAAAAAACAGTCTTGCTGAATAGAAAATATAAACAACAAATGAAATTATATTTTTAGCTTAATCATTTTGGCAAAAAGCAGATCAGTGTACACTCACGCTGAAGTCTATGATCTCTAAATTAAACAAGAGAGCAAACTCACAGAGGGTCATCATCATCATCGCTTAGAAGTAAAGCCTTTTCTGTGTCCAGACTGTCCAGCTCCGCAAACTGCTTGCCAGCATTACGATTGTCAAGTTCTTCATCACTGAAAAGAAAGCCCCAAAACCCAGATAATGCACACAACCGAGTGACACAGAGCTCATCAGCATGGCAAAGACAAAAGGTGGAGTACATCAACAGACTGATCACCTGAACTTTATGAGGTTGGTCCATATGAGCGGTGCACAGAAGAAAGACACCACAAGTTTGGAGATGGCTGTGTCTGTTGACATAGACCCCCACCAAATCTTTGTGAGCAGAGCCTGCAGAACAGAATCAGTTCATCAACATTGGCAAACTAGCAGTGTCTAAATTCAGGTTACCACAAGGGGGCACCAGAGGCCTTACAAAATTTCTGCTTTGCAGCTTGGAGCCCATATTCACAGAAGAAACATATGTGGCGTTATCACAGATAGACAGACAGAAAAAAAAAAATCAAAATCAAAATGCTTCTCCCCCAGTCAAACCATTTCATTAACCAGCAACTACTTTGCCTGAGACCAGGGAAACCCACTTTCTCTTGAAACATTACACATGTACTGGATAATAATTAACAGCATCCCATTAAAAAGGTAATTCCGACTGTGTGCTATGAATAAAATATATCATTCCCATGTGCTAACCTTCCCTACTGACACTGAATACCAATTAACTCTCACTGATGACTTTCTAATGACAAGGGCGTCTGCTGGAGGCATATTTAGACAAAACTGTGCATTGAGTGGCTTCTAAGTATCTAATGGCATACAGTGCAGAGGGAAATGTTTAATAACTGCTGTGGAAACCCAGTATATCAGCAGAGATGGCGGCAAAGAACCAGACTTATCTGTCAGCTTCCCAATACTTAATCTGTAGGATGAAACGTATAAATTTTAAAACGGAGCACCGCATGTGTCTTCTTGTCACCTGAACTCCGTCGTGGGCAAAGAAGGATTTGGCATCTGCCTCAGTTGCCAAGTTAAGGACTGTAGATTTGCTCCAGCAGTGTGTTCTCCTCACTAACAAAGCATAAGCCCTGTCTTCACTGTTGGAGTAACACTCTCCAAAGACATCTGCCACAATAAGAACAGTAGTTACACAGTGTCAACCGCTCAGTTAGATTACATCCAGATTTATATTTTAGTCCCTCAACTGGAATCTGTTTGTGCTTGTGGATAACAAAAAGCAAAGCAAAGCAAAGCACTGCTGGCTTGAAGTTAAAGGTTTTACCTCTTGCTGTGTTTGACCATTGCATTATCAGCTCCTGTCATTAAACAGTTTACGTACTCACCAAGGGCAAACTGCTCATACTTGGCCTCCTTCATGCTACGTGCGGACTCAGCCTCAGATTCCAGTCGTGCCATCTCTTTCAGAATCTTACAACCCGCCAGGGCTGCCGCAACCGCCTCAGGGCCCTGAAAGATTACAAGAGAGCTGTATCCAAGAAATGGGTCTGAAAGGGGTATTTGAATTTTTGAGAGCTGCATCTTTTGCATCTAAATGCTTCTATTGTGTGCATGGGGCTACTACAGATACAACTTGTAGGTTTTTTCCCCCCTGTGATTTCTAAAGCCTGTATTCAAAGGCACTTCCTTACATGTCGTGCAACACCGTTGTTATCGGCCAAAATAACTAGTCAGACAGTTTGGGTATGATAGCGGGCTCTTGAAGGGCTTTAACCATCTGACCTTGAATATAAGGCATATTTGAATGGTTGTTTTATTTTCAGTCTCTGTAGTTTGATCTATTGAATAACCCAGAAGGAAGCTGCTTGCTTTAGGTTGTATATGAACTGCATGGATTGTGTAAAGTATAAATAAAAAATGACTGTTATCACAGTGTGGCTAGGTAGTTCCCCTGAAGATTCTTTACATCATATATATATAGCTGACATTATAAACCTGCCTGTTGTACATATAAAAATGGACATTTTCTAACTTCTTACAGGTCTTGGGAAGACAAGGAAAGCAAGTATTACATATAGATAGCAGCCAGACTCACTATTTTCTTAACCACTTATCCAACCAGGGCTCTGATAGCTTGGAGTATAATAGGCTGACAATGGGTGGAAGGCTGGGTAGATGCTGGATGGAACATCAGTCCAGGGTTAACGAAAATACATATTTATGAGATGATCAAGAGATATTCATGCTTACAAGCAGATCTATGGTCAGTTTAAAGTCACCAGTAATGCTAATACTCATGCACTGGACTGTGAGGAAGAGCAGCATATTGCAGCAGAGGGCTCTTCCCATTTTTGTTTAAAGGATCAATGATTTGTGTTGATTATGCTGCATTTTTTTTTTGCGCTCCTGGGTCGACATACTGTATATGCACATAATAAATATGTGAGATTTTGCTAGCCTGCAAGAATAATTGTCGCCTTCAACGTGGGAAATACTTCAAACAATCAAATTACGAATGCCAGAGTCCAGGCCAGAGTCTGAGTGCTGAGGCGCTAGAGGTGGGGGATGGGCACACGCTGAACGCAATTACCATAATTTCAGATAATGTTTGAAATATAAGACGTTGGAAAAGAGCACATAATGATGACCGCGTGTGAGATTACAATAATTGGTTGCCTCAGTTCAGGGAATGGCAATAAAGAAATGAAAGGTGCTTTGAAAAGATGTTGAAAACAAAGAGCAATTATCATTGATGAGTGTCATTTAAACTATTCGTGGGACATCAATCCCTTGTCGGCCTATATGTCTCATTACCTTCATCAGGACGTTAGACACGCATGCGCTGGCTCACGGCTGGTTGGCTGCCTCAGCAAGCAGCCTGACCTTCATTTGAATAATGTTCTTGGAGATAAGATAGCTTTTTAGTTCACCTCAGTTCTTGATAAATATGCCGTTTGCTGGGCTCTTTTTTTTTTTTTTTTTTATCTCGAGTGACATTTTCATATGGCAGGACTGACCTACACCTCTACTGGGCTGGCCCGCATCGCTCATCACACCCAAAGCAGAACGCAAACTATCACAGCATAATTCTGCTCACTTCACTTTGCTTTGAGTAGAATTTTCCAAAGCCAGGCACATTTAGTTATTTATTGAGACGCACAGTGCTGAGATAGTACGAGCTGTAGCTCAACCGACTAAAGAAGCTGACAAGACTGACCATGGCCCAAAAGTAGTTAGCCATCTGCTGCCGGTTCTGAAGGGCCGCCCAGAGGAAGAGATCTCGCCAAGGATGCTCGCAGCGCTCCTCTAACTCAGCCAGATTCTTCTGGGTGTGGAACAGTCGACCCTTTGCTGGCTTCTCCTGGAGCACACAGAGAGAACACTGAATGTATTTAATATGTATAGTAGATGAGGCAGCCGCACACAGTTTACAGAACAGGCAGTGCTTACATAAGTCAATCTACGACAGTCCTTTTACCGCAAAACCAATTTCCCTCGCTCCGCTGTAAAGAAGTCATAGCTGCTTGGTTGTCAACTGGAATATGTAATGAATTTAGCCAAGCAGACCTTCAGCCAAGAAAACATTTGACTGTGGCTGTGTTTTTCTTTGAGACCACCAGCCTTACAACAGTGAGTAGCACAAAACCTGACAGCATAATTAGAGAAAATATAGGGATTTTTAGAGTGCAACAGCAGGTGTGATTTTCCACGATGATCCATTTCTTTTTTGCTGCAGTTAGAAAGAAAAAAATGATGATGTGATAGGAGTAACAAAAGGGCTGGCTGCTCTGAAAAGAGCACTTTGGCTTTATTGGGTAGATTTGATGTTTTTTTCTGCTATTAGTGTAGGTAGGATGAGTTGCCATTAAAGCCGCCATTAAAGATTCACTGTCTTCCAGGAAGTCAGTTTACCACAAAGTCTATATATTATCTGGTTCATTGCATCTTTCAGGCGCTTAAATGTTGCGAATATAGCTGTCTGAGAGGGTTAGAGGTAAACTCTCTCGCTCGCTGCTCACATCTCATAGATGAATGCAAACCTTTATGTGGTTTCACAGAGACACTGCTTCATTTTTATTTGGCAGACCAAAAGGGATGAGAAACCTAACACAGACAGCATATTGTTTGTTTGGAACTTTCAAAAGAAGAGTACATCACCTACCGTGGGAGTCTTCTGGTAAAAGCCTTTACAAGAGTCGTGGAGAAAGTCTTTCAGCACTTTGGCGACCTCATAGAGGGTGAAGCGGGGTTTTCGGTCTCCTTGCTCGGAAGGATGGTGCACGGGTGGACCATGTGTCCTGGCAGCTCCGAGCAGAAGCTGCTTCTCCTCGTACTTTTTGAGGAGCAGGTTGTGAAGGAGGCTTTTCTCTGAGACAGACCAGTAAAGCTCCTGAAGACGGCCATAGGTAAGGAACTCTCCCAGGTTCACGCCATTGTCCACGAAAAGGCGAACAAAGTCTGGCTTGTCATTGATCAGTGCATCCATCATCACCTCTTCAAGATCGCAAGCCTGCAAAGATCAGTAGACTTATTACAGTGACTCACTCATGACCTCTCTTCTTCACAGCTGTAAAAATATTATTTTCTGTTATTATGAAGAGCCTTACCAGTCTTGATTGGTACTCTTATTGTTATTACTATAATATAACACTATTCAATAAATCCCTTTCTTGCAGATTTAATGCAAATGTGAATATTGCAAATTGCACATGCTAAACAGCTTTAAAAACATGCTCTGTAGAGGTCTAGAGGGTAGCTAACAGGGTCTGCTGTGTAATTTTGCACACACATCCATGATCCTCTGAAGGTGAATCCTACTGGCACAGCTGGTGCTTTGAGGTTGGTGTTAATTGCTAACATCTATTAATTTGGCAATGTTAGCAGGCTAATATATCAAAATGATAACAGCCCCTACAAAAAAGGTGGACATAGCCTCTAGGTTTGAATTCCAGCATAGAAGTGTGTCAAAACTTTTTTCTTTGGTTCTTAAATTCTTTCAAACCCTGCCTTCTTCCTAACGGCCAGTAGAGGGCGTGGGCTGGTTGCAAAAAGAGGTCAGATTGTATAAAAATGTATAAAAAAAACAACACTACTTTCCACTTTATTTATGATCTCAGTGAACACTATAATGATGATTTCATGGTATCATTCACTACTTTTAAATCATATCTAGCAGAGAATGGTGCTCAGTTTGTACATTTTGCTTTTATTTAGACAAAAATAGATGACAAGGCAGGGTATAATTCGGACTGTTGCTGCCTGTCTATGTGCAGTTATCATGGCTTTTTCACTCAGTCTCCACTTTTCAGTCATGACATCTCATGTCAGCAAAACATGGCAACTGCCAAAATGTCAGGCTTCAGCCTTCAAAATAGAAGTGCATAAATCAGTGGGCAATGTCACGCTAGCTGCATCCATCTTTTATATACAGACTATGAAACCAGCACATTTGGCTATAATAGTGATAATGAAAAATATTATATCTGATGAAATATATTATTGATATCATTGTGAGCATATTAGAATACTAGCATATTCATGACTGGGCTAGCTATTGTTTTAATTACCTTAAATAGCCCAGACTCTCACTGATTGTACTCAAAAAAGTTCCCACTCTCTTTTAATGTTGCTTTAGAAGGTACGCCAGGTTTAATTACCAGAATTTGTCAAACCTTGATCAAATCCTTTTGTCTCACCTTCCACTCCACATCTCCATTAAAAATGTCACTCTTTGCAATGTCCACTCTGTTCCAGGCCACTGCCAGCTTCAGCTCATCCAGAAAGTCTTGGGCTTCTTGACTTTGGCTCTTGCAAGCTGATAAACACACACACACACACACAAAATGTCAACAGATTTACAATCTATCAAGCGCTCAAAATGTCAAAGCTCTTTCTTATTGCAACTGTCATGTCAGGAAACCTGTAATTGTGCAGCCTTAGGAAATTAAAAGTTTCTTAAACATATCTCTCACAAGAAAATGTTTTACCTTTGACTAGAGCTTTGAGAATGACTGTATCCAGCTCAGAGCTCTCTTGTTCCGGGTCATGGACAGTGAGGAGATGCTCGTGATCAAGTATCTTCTGAATCTGATTGTCAGGTCGATAGTCATTAATTATGGAAATATCATTTGAGTGACGCAATTTATTAAAGAGAATTTAATGTGTTGTATACAAAGTACCTTTACTATGTGTATCAGCTCGGAAAAAAACATGTTACGAAATTGTTGTCTTGGCTTCCCTCCTTGTGTTCTTAATTAGGTCATCACATACAAATGTTGATGATAATGATGAAAATCCTACATTAGCTTCCTTCACAATCTTCCCCAGTGTGCCCTATTTTTCTGCCAATGTTCAAGTCTTGTGATGTGCATATCTGTATATGTGCCTGCCTCCATGCTGTGCACATCGCTCTTACCAGCTTGACCCAGTTACTGATGTCTGTGCTGTGGTGGGCATTTGGAAAGGTGTCCAGCAGCAGCTCATGAACGCTGTCCGTATCCCAGCAGCCCCTATTCATCAGTGTGACAAGGATGTCAGCCACACCTCCAGAGCCTGCCAGGATCAGCCATGGTGTCGAATTGCCAATGCCTTTATACATTCTCTGCAAGAAGGGACACAGTGTTCTGATGAATTTTCAGTTGATATTATTTTTTTTTTAAAAGATGATAACTTCCCAACTAAACATCAACAAGAATTATATTTCTCAGTGTAAGCTGTAGTCTATAATCTCCTCAGTAATGGCTCTATTTATGCAAATGCATTGGTGACTTTGATGGGCTTTTTGGTTGAAGAGATTAGTTTTGTGAAAACAGAAAGAATTTGTTTCTCAGTCTGGCTTTGGCCAGCTGCCTCAGGAGATGGCACCACCAAAATTTGACTCAGAGCCTAATTTTCAAGCCTTAGCCAGCGTTCAAACTGAGAATGTGCACATTTGAATGACAAAACAAATCTGCCTTTCAGAGGGTCTCTTCGTGCTTTCGCCTTTAAAGTTCTTGAGAAGCTAATGTAGCACAATGAAAAAAAAAGAAGCTTACTTTTAGGATCCTGGGTTCTCCGTGGACCAAGAGACACAGAACAGGGATCTCAAAACTTCCTGCACCTAGAAGAATATTCACAGAATGAAATGCAGAAAAAGGAGAAACTGGGGTGATGGTGGGTTGCAAAGAAGCTTACAGGGGTAGCATTAGTAGCTCTGGGCAGGCTAAAGCAAGTTACTAACAGGAAGTGTTTCCTACATTGGTTGTGCATGCTCTATGTGTAAAAATATCTCTGTGATGTGTTCCCTTTGTCTCTAAGTTGTGGAGAGTTGAACCAAATGTTGTTTTTTATTTTTGCTCTGATATTAAATGTGAACAGCTTTGGAAACCCGAAAAGGAAAATGACCTGAAAATGACCTTGGAAAATGACTGAAACACTATTTATGGAAACAGGCTACTTTTGAATATGCAGTAAAAGTAGTAAGTAAGCAATTAAGTGAGGCTTATTTATATAGTTCTTTTCAAGAACAAAAGTCACAAAATGCTTTACAATTTACAATTACAATGAAATTTTTAATTTACAATTAAAATGGTAAAAATAGACTCCATTAGATTCACTGCTATTGTGCTTGTGAAGTAATTCAAGAATTCATAAACATCATAAAATATGAATATGCTTTTTTTTTCTTTTTTTTCTTTTGTAAAAAAGAAGCTAATTATATATGAAGCAGCCACATGTACTATGTGCAACACCACAATGAAACAATGCCAAAATGCATCCATAATTGAAATCCATAAAAGCTACCATTTGTCACAATGAATTCTCGTAAGTACATTCCAGTGTCATTTTTACTCAGTTTTACATAGGTACATGTAAAGGAATTATATAAACTTTTAATGAAGCAACGTTAACATACGGCATACTGCGAAGATTTTGGTTCCCAGCAATGACCTAAAAGATTTTTTACCTCCGTAACCTGTGCGCTGAAGAGAGATATGCTTGAGCAGCTTCACCCTCATTTCACTGGTGGCTCCGGGTCTGTTGGGATCTTCCTCAACCAGAACAAAGTGAGAGTGGTGACTGTCCAGGGAATACACTGATCCATGGGGCAAGTCTTGAGGCTTGTATACTGCGGGTTCATCAACCTTAAGAAAATATGAAGGGATACTCAGCAAGAAAGAGGACAGCGACAACACATTAACACGAGAGATGTAAATATTAGTTCACGGAGGATACTAATATTGGCCTTGTGCTGCCTTTGTGTGAACAGGAACCTTGGCTGTGAGTAGTGCCTCTCGGTTGTGGATCATGTTCCAGGGAGCAATGCCAATGGCCACAACACGAACTTTAGAAGAGGTGCTGGCCAAGGAGTGATCTCGTACCGCCTGGCCTAAGTGCTTGGTGATGCCAAAGCGAAGGCCATTAGTCAAAATCCATGCCCCTAGAGAAAAGCAATGCAGTTGTATATGTACATAAGAGGTTTAGAACGTTTGATGTCTAATTTTACATGATCTCTCTGCAAAGTTGGAATTCTGATGAGTATCAAACTGAAAAGTTGGATCCAAGATTGCAGATTAAACTGATGTAGCTGCCAATATAATCATAAAGCTAGTTATTCTGAAATTAATCATATCATTTATTAATGAAAAACACATAATATCACAGAAAAAAACAACAACACTTTATATATCAAATAAAAGGCACTCTCTTGCCAGTATAGCAGCCTAAAAGATTTTTTTGATTTCAAAAGCCAGGGCAGTTTGTACCCTTGATTATAACCTGTGCTTTGTGCAGCCTTCACAAGTCCCTTTCTCAGTGTGTCCCTAAGCCAGGGCCTCATCTGAGCCACCTCATCTCCTCCCACTACTGCAACCACCAGGTGTGGAGGAGCAAGACCCCACTCTTCTGTCAGCATCTGGTAGATCAGCACTGGGTCGGTGTTGCTGCGCACCCTCACAAACTGATTGAAGGCAAGGGGAAAAGTGATGTGTCAGTATACCGGTTGAACTGCACACTCTCGTTATGTTACCTTCCTTACTCGTTATGACATCCAGTCTCACCTTTCCTCTTGTTTTAGTCGGACCGAGAAAGTCAATGTCACCAACTCTGCCAGCTGCCCAGTGGCTCTTCTCTTTCTTCATTCTGCTGCCGAGTCCCCTGGCTACATTCTCCAGAGTCTCATCTACTGTAGAGCAGCAGGAACAGCCCAGCAGGACACTGACAGCAAAAAAGTGTGAAATTGTTATATGCATCAGTCTTCTGCAGCACAGAAAAGGTATGAAAAAGAATCAGATTCAATTTTTATCCAGACTATCCTGCCCACAAAGCTCCTCATAAACATGCAGCAACACTTTTCTGTGCTGTTGCAATTACAAAAGGACAGTTAATTTCACCCGCCAAGGCTGTTACACTGTTCTCTTTGCTGATTTGGTTTGCTTCTTATTACCGTGTGTGTTTATGTATTTTTTTATATAAAAAAAAAGCTTGTCAAAGTTCAACAAAAACACCTTAACGTTGACGTTAAAGCACTATTAAAATTCATATCTAAGATTCATCCAGGTTGCACTGTGTTCAGCCTATTTATATCTTTTGCAATTATATCATTGCTGCCCATTTGTAGTTTGCTGCATTTTGTATAGTTTCGAAAGACTTTCTGCAACTTGTGTTTTTCTTGTCTATATTTGCATATTTATATATTGCCTGTTTCTTTCTTTCTTTTTGTATGCATTCCATGTTTGTATGCACAAACTTTGCCAAATAACGATGATTCCGATTCTGATCAGACATAATATTATATTATGGAAATTCTCCACATGTACCACACTCATTTCTATTTTTTTGTACATTGAATTAATTATTATCGATATTTTAAATACCCCTAACATACACTCTTTTTGTTTTCTTTCCCATATCATTTTTTTTTTTTAATTTTTTTTTAACATAAGTGGACTGAAATCAGTAATTAATGCTATTCCATTTACTCTCACTTTCATTTTCACTTGAGTAAAAGCCTAATATTTCCAGACAGGGTTGAAGCTTCCTGCAGTACCATTTTTTTTTTTAATTTGATCAAGATGCATAGATGGAATAAAAAATAGGGAGGTTATTTCATTAAATGAACTCATTTAGATGATTTAAAGGCTTTATGGTTTATCTGCTTCGTCCAGTATTAGCTAAATGAAAAATGTAGCTCTGTGCTTTTCTTCTTATTTAATATCAGAGAAAGCATTCATTTCTCCGCAGCCAGGAATGGACCGGCTCTCATGAATAATTTAAATAGAAAACTGTACTTGGATTTAGTTAATGTTTGTTAGTCCAGTGCAAATGGTTTCATCCTGTGGCACTCTTGCCCTCCTTAGCATCGGCCTTTTCAGCTGCTCTGATGATGACGTCCTCATCACGAATGCTTCTGAACACTCGTTTGAGATAAAAGCTTCTGTCAGAGCCGATAATTCTACTGTAGAAGAAAAAAAAAGTTTCTCTTGTTTCAGATCGCTGCACACACAAACACACGCACCCATGTTCCTCTGACCACTCCAGCGTGTCCCCACATTGCAGGCATCGCGTCTGTGGTTGCAGCGTCCCCTGTAAACAAATGAATACCCAGATATTAGGTCACTTTAACGATAAATCCATTATGACTCACTCACCGCTGGCTCTACAGACGGAAAGCTTCTTAGAAGTACATGTGGTCAATGCAAAGCTGGCAGAATTTTCATTCTCGCTTCATATGCAAAGTGCTTCGTGCCCCATGTTTGAACTACAAAGGCACAAAACCCTCTTTTTTGCTGGTATGCACGAAGCAGGGAAACAGGCATGCATCTGAACCTCTAAACGCAAGCCTCCCTTATAAGTTGTGAAATGAGGACATTTGCTAGCCCTGTGCAAAATTTTAGGCGCTTTAGATATTTAGGACTGTGTACATCAGTCAATGCATCAGATCAGACCAGCATTTATTGTGCAGCATTACAACAGCACCAAACATACTTAAAGCCTCATAACAGACTGTTTTGAGCTAGAAGAACAAGGAGTCTTGCGACAGATGGCATGGCAGACACAGAGCCCTGATCTTAGCATCATGGAGTCAGTCTGGGATTATATGAAGAGGAATATGCAACTAAGACAGCATAAATCAGCAGAAAAAAAAAATGTGGCAAATTCTCTAAGGCACCTGGAACAACCTAACCTGGAAGGAACCTTGAGAAAAATGGGGAGGGGATCTGCTTTTGACATCGTGACCTTCTTTATACGGAGCTATTGTTTTACAGTTCAGTTTATCTCGGGATGAGTCTTTTCATAGGAACCAAAATACACTGAGCTCAGAAAGAAGGCTCATTTAATATTGATAAGATTACCCATTTGCCTCAGTAAACAGACACTTTTATCAGCCAGCCTTATTTGCATGGGCGCTTGAGCAGCTTTGTGAAAGACGATTAAAACAAACAAAAAAATAATAGTAGTGCAAATTCCTGTGACCGACAGCAGTAGCCTCCCCATTTACTTTGAGTAAAGAACACGCGTTTTAACGCAACTGTGGTGCAATGGTTAATATACAGGCGGAGAGTCAATTTGTGTTCAGCCATGTTTTAATGGGAGAGAGCAGCTTGTTGTGGAGGCTTTTATTTGACTACAGGTCTG